TTCAAGAAGCATTTGGACAATACTCTCAAGCACATGGCGTGACTCTTGAGGATGGTCCTGTGCAGGGCTAAGGGTTGGACTCGATAATCCTTATTGATCCATTCCAACTCAGCATATTCTGTGACTGCAGTTAAGCAGATCGCAGTAGGAATGATAGAGAAGGTCTTTGATGGGAAAATGACTTGCTTCTACCAATAATAGGCTGCCTTCTGACATAGCTCTAAATACAATAGAATTCCTTGAAACATTCCCATAAAGAGGCAAAAGAAGTAGAGATGTGCAGCACTGATTCCCCCCCCCTTTTCCCCTCTTTGTTTCCTTTATTGAAAACTTCTCTTTCCACCACACAATCTTACTGCTGGTGGTGTATTTAGAAACATATTCTGGCTTATGTGGTATGTTGTTGTTTTGAGGTTTTTTTTGTTTTGTTGTTTTTGAGAGAGTGGTTAGGAGGTTGGAGGAGGGGGTAGTACTTGCAGTGACTCTGAAATTCAGGAAAGTAGACAGCCATATCCTGCCTGTCTTGCCATCAGGCTTGCATAATCAGGTGCAAATGCACTATATTATAGTGAAGTCACATGAACTGTTTTTCCAGTAATTGTAAGTGTTCAAGGTCAGGTTGGATGGAGCAACCTGATCTAGTGAAAGATGTTTCTTCCCATGGCAGGGGATGATCTTTGAAGGTCCCTTCCAATCCAAATGACTCTTACTCTGTTTTCTCTTGTCATTATTTATAAGTGTAAATCATATTTATTAGATTAGAGTGAGCTGTTGGACTTCTATTAATGTTGGTCCCATACTGGCATTGCATGTAAATGAACACTAACTTTTAGGTAGAACTTTAAGTATGGGGAGGGACATTTGAGAAAGAGGCAGAGAGTAAAACTTGAAAGGTCGTTTTATTACATAGTTTTAATAAGCTTCAGGAAGTGATCTTATGAAGTGTAAATGGTGTAACTGAAATGAGATGCACCTTGCCAAGAAACAGTACCTGCTGCAGATAATATTGCTGTATTGGGTTTGCATGGCAAGGTTTTGGTAGTGGAGGGGCTACAATGGTGGCTTCCGTGAGAAGATGCCAGAAGCTTCTCTGATGTCCAATAGAGCTGGTGCCAGCCATCTCCAAGGTAAACCCACTGCTGGCCAAAGCCGAGTCAATCAGCAATGGTGGTAGTGCCTCTGTGACAACATATTTAAGAAGGGGAAAAAACTGCTGTGCAACAGCAGCTGGAAGAGAGGAGTGAGAATATGTGAGAGAAACAACTCTGCAGACATCAAGGTCAGTGAAGGAGGAGGAGGTACTCCAGGTACCAGAGCAGATTCCCCTGCAGCCTGTGGTGAAGACCATGTTGAGGTAGGCTGTCCCTCTGCAGCCCATGGAGATCCACGGTGGAGCATGTAGGTGTGGCCAAAGGAGACTGACTGTGGAGTGCCTGTGCTGGAGCAGGTTCCTGGCAGGACTTGTGACCCTGTGGAAAGGACCCATGCTGGAGCAATTCATGGAGGACTGTCTCCTGTGGGTGGGACCCCAGGCTGGAGTGGGGGAAGAGTGTGCAGAGAAAGGAGCAGCAAAGACAATATATGATGAATTGACTGCAAATCCCATTCCTCGTTCCCTTGCGCTCTTTAGTGGGAGGAGGTAGAGAAGATGGGAGTGAATTTGAGCCCAGAAAGAAGAGAGAAGTAGGGGGAAGTTATTTTAAGACTTGTTTTTATTTGTCATTATGCTACTCTGATGTTTGATTGGCAATAAATTTACTTAATTTCCCCAGGACAAGTCTGTTTTGCCCGTGACAGTACTTGCTGAGTCATCTCCCTTATCTCAACCCATGGGCTATTCATCATATTTTCTCCCCTCTGTCCAGTTAAGGAGAGGATGTGATAGAGCAGCTTGGTGGGCACCTGTTGTCCAGCCAAGGTTAACCCACCAGAGTCACATTAAGACAAAGAACTAGTTATTTCAAGTGCTTCAGTTGGGGGACACACAAACCCACTCAAAAAACCCTCCCCCAAAACCCCCAAACTGTGTTGATTAAACATGATATTTTTTCTTAATAACTTCAAGAGTAGGTCCTATTTAAAAATAGTGTCTGTCTTTGAATAGCTGTCCCTGGAAAAAGACTAATATAGCTTTTGTTTAATCTCTGCAGATCTTTATTTTTAGGCACGACAACATAATTTACTACCAGACCTGTTTCTTGTCCAACTGAAAAGCTATGAAGACTTTATTGCTATATTAGCATTTATTTTTTTAAAGAAAAAACAGGCATACTTATATGGTTACAATCTTGGGCATTCAGCATACTTGGGTAAGTCACTACTTGGCTAGGTTGCTATTGGCTCACCCTTTCTTCATTTCGATTTAAAGGCACAGTTACAAGAAATCATGGTGCATGCTTGGTGAGTGGTGGTCTTTCTGTGGGCAGGGGGCATCTGAGCTAGGGGTACGGTTTTTACTGTTATAATATTATAATGAGCAAAGTTCATCACTAGGGCAAGTTCTCACCACAGAACTGGTCAAAATTGGGGGTGTTGGCTCAGCTTGCAACATCCTGGATAAAAGAAGGTGTTGTCTATTTGTTTTTCCCCTTCAAAGACTTAGATTTCTGTCTTAATTTACAATTTCCTACATTCCTGTAGTTATTGGTTATTGCTTCCATTGTTTAACCACTTTGTTCTTTATCTTGTTATTTGGAACTTTGCTCCTGTTATTCACCAATACCCACATATTCTCATCAAGGGACCCTCTGAGAGAACCTTGTCATGTGCAAAGAAGAGATCAGTCCTTTGAGCTGGATTGAGATGCTTCTGCGTTTGGGCTCAGCCCACCAGGATGATTATGCAGTGTTACTGGGGCAAACTTTGGGCTTTGTGTGATCCTGTAAGGCACAGGCATTGTTCATTGAAATGGCTAGCCAGAACAAAATGTGAACTTCAGAAGAACATGTGCATGGGGACAGTAAGGAAAAGAGCATAAGGGATTCATTAAAAAGACTGTGCAAACCAGAAGAACTGGCCAATGGGCCCATGAATCACAAACTAGGTTTTGAAGCAAGCATCACAGAGGGTGGGTGATGGTGTTGGGGGAGCTCCCTTTGCCCATGGTTGGGAGGATCTTGCAGCTACCTGTGAGACAGTTATGTGGTGCAGGCTGGTGCTATATGTCTTTCCTTGTCCTTAGGTTGATGCTATCCTTAGAACACATTAAACAGCTCCAGCTGACTGAAGAGGGAGAAGTCAATTTGTAGTATTATCTATTTGTGGTTTTTGTCTGGGCCTATAGCAACTGAAGAAATGAGAAAGGGCATAGAAGTGACGGCAATGTTTGGAGAGCAGGGGAGAAAAATAAATCCTGGAGAAGTTTTGAATAGCAACCAACTCTCCTCATACCTTGTTAACAAAGTTTCTTTGTACTTGAGTTAAATTGATTGTTCAGGGTTTCCTTTCATATGTGTGTGTAGTAGCAGCATGTCAGTACACATCTGCGAAGCAACTTCTGTTAAAAGAGATTTGCTGTCTTCTGGGGAGATTTACTGTCTCTCTACCTATAATGTGGGGAGACCTCATCACAGTCTACAACTTCCTCGTGAGGGGAAGTGGAGGAGCAGGCACTGATCTCTTCTCTGTGGTGACCAGTGACAGGACCTGAGGGAATGGCATGAAGCTGTGTCAGGGGAGGTTTAGGTTGGATATTAGGAAAGGTTCTTCACCCAGAGGTTGGTTGGGCACTGGAACAGGCTCCCTCAGAAAAGTGGTCACAGCACCAAGCCTAGTGGAGTTCAAGAAGTGTTTGGATATGGCTAGCCTCTCTGGGTTGCATTCCTCCCATTGTGGGGTTCCATTTCCGAAGGCTTGAGGTGGATAGGGAAGGGGAAAACTCCAGCGCCAGGGGTTTCTTCAGGTCCTGACCGCATGGAGGGGAGAGCTCGCTCACCCCTCCCCCCACCCACGAGGTCCCATGGCAGCCACAGACAGCACACGGGACTTGGAGAGGAGGAGAGAGAGAGCGTTTATTGATGGGGTGGTTACATATATAGGTCCTAGGAGGATTCACAGAGTGACCAATTACAGGGTCAGGGGGCTTACAGGACACCCAATTGCAGGAAGGGGTTAACAACCAATAGGAAAGGGTTAACAGGGCCCAATGGGAAGACTTCTTGATATCTTCTCAGGACATTCCTGAGGCAGAGATAACACTACCGTGGGGGGTCCTGGGAAGAAGAAGCAGTGACTTTGCAGAAATACAAAAAACCATTTTGAAACATGTTTAAACAGCAGTTTTCTCATATAATGCAGATTTACTGCTACATTTGGACAACGCTCTCAGACCCATGGTGTGACTCTTGGGGTGTCCTGTGCAGGGCCAGGAGTTGGACTTTGATGATCCTTGTGGGTCCCTTCCAACTCAGGAGATTCTATGATTCTATGAAGCTTTGGGGGTACAAATCCCCTTTTTGAAGCTGCTAAAAGGCAAATGACTGATCTGAACAGAAACCAAGTGGCAACCTGGCTTGCAAACCAGGACACTTGCAGCTTCTACTAGGAGGCAAGAAAGCACTTAAAAAGAAGAAAGATGATTGTGGCAGAGGTGGATGCACAATGGCAAGCAGACTTGGTAGCTATGCAACAGTTTTCCAAAAACAATGATGGTGTTAAGTACATATTTAATCCAAGCATACCTGGGCCATTGGCCACATGCAAACTCTTCCCTGTCAACCAGCAGTCTTTCATATGACTGTCGATCATCTGAACAAGCTACATGCATTCTCTCACACAGCAGTCATTCTCAAAATCAGGCTACAGTGGTTTTGCAGCCCATGGATGTCCATGGTGGAACAGATAACCACCCTGCAGCACATGGATTACCCCTTGCCAGAGCAGGTGGATGTGCCCTAAAGGAATTTGCAGCCCATGGAGAGCCCATGATGGAACAGGCCCCTGGAGAGGAGCCCACACTGGAGCAGGTTTGCTGGCAGGAACTGTGGCCCTGTGGAGGACCCATGTTGGAGAATGTGAAGAACTGTATCCTGTGGGTGGTACGCCCCACTGGAGCAGGGGAAGAGCATGAGGAGGAAGTAACAGCAGAGGCAATGCATTATGAACTGACCGCAACCTCTATTCCCCATCACCCTATGCCCTTTGGGAGGGAGGAGGTAGATAATTTGGGGGTGAAGTTGAACCTGAGAAGAGGAAAGGGGTGGGGGGAAGGAGTTTTTAAATTTGTTCTTATTTCTCATTATCCTACTCTGATTTGGTTGGCAATAAATTAATTTAATTTCCCCAAGTTGAGTCTATTTTGCCTGTGACAGTAATTCCTGAGTGACCTCCCCTGTTCTTATGACCCACAAGACTTTTCTTGTATTTTCTTCCCCTTTCTAGTTGAGGAGGTGGAGTGATAGATCAGCTTGGTGGGCACCTGGCAGTCAGCCAAGGTCAACCCACCCCAGGGAAACTTTGGAGAAAATATGCAGTTGAGTACAGCAGCAGTTACTATGGATATGCTAATGAATGTAGATGGCCTCAAAGAAAAGGGGTTATAAAGGATCAAATAGACTAAAAGGATTAAAAAATAGAGTGGAAAGGTACCTAATTTTTTTGTACAGTGCTACTCAAGAATATGTTTTTGGCATATTTAAAAATATTGAGTATATTTATAGTATTTGTTATTAAAGAGGGGACCAAAATAATTTTAAAAGGCAGACATCTGATGGTTTTGTTATGAGACACTGTAGAGTGCAAGACAGAATAGAGAAGTACTGGTTATGGTTTCTGGGTGATAATAAGTTTAATTTCTGAGATTCTCTCTCAACTCCTTTAGTGGTTAAGGACTCTATTTTGATCAATCTCTGTTTTGTTTTTAGGAGAATAACACATTGCTTAAAATGGACATAAATGGAAAGTCCAGAACTACCCTATCTACCCTCCCTGTACCTCTTGCAGAGGTCAGTTCTGCAGGCAAAACAGAAGCAGAGAAACCACGATGTTCCAGTACTCCCTGCTCACCAATGCGACAGACAATTTCAGGCTATCAGATCCTTCGCATGGATTCTAACTACCTGGTTGGCTTCACGACTGGAGAGGAACTGCTAAAATTAGCTCAAAAGTATACAGGAAATGAAGATAATAAAGGGAGATCTGAGCCTAACTTGCACTCTAAACAGCTCGATTTAAGACTTGCATGCTCCTCACGTTTATACAAAACTAGAAGTAGATGCTATCAGCCATATGAGATCCCAGCAATAAAGGGGAGGAGGAGGAGACGGATGCCCAGCTCGGGGGATAAATGCACTAAGGCTTTATCATATGAACCTTACAAGGCACTTCATGGTCCCTTGCCTCTTTGCCTTTTAAAAGGCAAAAAGGCTCATTCTAAATCCCTGGAGTACCTCAATTTAGACAAAATGAGCATTGAGGAACCTGCTGACACAGACATGTTACGATACCAGCTCCAACACCTTACCCTTAGAGGGGACCGACCGTATGTTTGCAAGAAACAATACTTGAACTATGAAGTATAATCTAGAATTTAGAACCAGTTTCTGGTTATTTCTCTGCTGCAAAAATATGCTGTCATACTGTACATGACTGTCCACATTGTAGGTGGTATAACCTAAATGTTATCAGAAAGTAATTTATTTGAATAGGATTTTGACAATGCGTTGTGTTACAAATGGAGGAAAAAAATCTTTCCAGAGCAAGCAGTTTCTAATACAAATTTGGCTGTAGCTGGTGGATATTTCTTTGAACATCTTTTAACAAAGAAAAGGCTTTTGTTTTTTGGATTTGGATTTGGTTTTGTTTTTTTTTTTAACAGTTATCTAGTATTTATGGTAATTTAATACTGAAAAATTGATGGTCTGCTTGGTTGTTGCTAATTTTGGCTTGATGTTAGAAATTGCTCTTGGATAAGTACTCAAGTTATCTTTTTGTTTCTTAATGTATTCTACAATAAAATGTATGTATGAGTTTTTACATCATGGGAACGAATGTGAGCTTGGCTAAATTAAATCACCTGTTATTTTAAAACATCCTATTCAAACATTTGGAAACTAGGTCTGCATTGGTGGTGACAAGGAAATTCACTCATAAAATAAACCTTTGTTCATTTGCTACTTCAATCCTATTAAATTATTTTTTGTTTCTGTATGGAAGTAATTGTTTTGCCTCCTCTTTTTCATAAAACGAGTTTGGGATAAGTATTTGGAATATTAGTAGATTGAATACACTGGCTTAATTTGTTGCATAAGAATTTTTTTGTCCAAATATGACATCCAATGCAGTTTTGACAGCTGTATTCTTAGATATATTTAAAACGTTAGTAACTTATGTTTAAAAATTAAACGTTTTTAGACATTTTTAGGTACAGTCTATTACTGAAGCAGTGTGCAACTTCATTTTGGTTTACATATTTAGAAGTTAAGATGTTTTGAAACATATCTTATTTGATCAGTTGTTTCTAGTACAATTTAGGAGTTTTTTGTTTCTTCAGGATGAGTAGCAAGCACTAGTCAGTGCATGTATTGTGGAAAATGAAGAGTTCTTTTCATTCTGCCACTTACTGTACAATTGTAACTGAAGGCAGTGAAGAGGACCCCAGTAGACTATTTTACTGGTTTGGTTAATGTTTTCTGGCTTATTAGAATATTTACAACTGATGTGTATTTTAAAGAGTTAGCTGCACCTCTGTAAATTTAATGTATTGAATAGTGATCTCTTTAATAAACTTTTCCTGTGTAGTCTTTAGTTTGAAAAAGAGAATATGGTCATGCCAAAAAGATAAAGGTTTTGTCTAAGAAATAAACACCGCTATTTATTGAAATGCCCTATGAAAATGTATATCTGGCTGAAAAATAAAAAGAGTGATATCAATACCTATTTTTGTGGAGTCTCTTGCTGTGTAGAAGAATGAGGACATTAAAAAATTCAACTTTATACCAGGAATCACTAAAACTTGAAAACAGGAATCTTATACTTCTGTGAAATATTTAGACGGTTGTTCTGTTGTTTCAGGAAATCAGACAACTAATTGTCCATTTTGTGCATGTTATTACTTTGGTCCTGTGCAGTAATTGTATAGCTACATCATAGAGACTGGTGGCTGTCTTGCCAAGTTAAAACATGAAAAATTTGTTAGTATTTTGTCTGTCTAGTAGCTTGCTTGTGAAAGGGATTGCACCTGATAACATTGCTTAACTGTTTTATACTTGCAGTTACACTTGCATAGTATATAATCATTCAAGAGCCAATTTTTTTTATTTTGAGATGGATTTATTATATTCTTAATTACAACTCAAATTCATATAGTGATTTCCTGGTTTTACTTCTAAAAGAAGCAAAATCTCAGACATAAAGAAGCTTTTAATCTGGTTTTATTTTTGATAATTGTAATGTCTTACACTAATTATTAAAATTAAAGGCAAGATGGTTCTGTAAACTACTAAAATGAAATTGAATGTGAACAATACTAATTTCTCAAAGCAAGGTCCTTACTAAATATCAGGCTCCAGACCTTACTGGGGCCTTCCAAGATATAAAGGGGGAAGAGAGACTTTTTACCAGGGCCTATAGTGACAGGACAAAAGGTAATGGTTTTGAAATACAAGACGGTAGATTAAATTAGATATAAGGAAGAAATTCTTTACAATGTGGGTGGCGAGTGTGAGAGACTAGACTGTTAATGACTCAAAACAATGGGCTATTTGCACAAACAGGGACAGAGACAAGGCAGAGGTGTTTAACGCTTTCTTTGCCTCTGTCTTTATAAACACCAATCATTCAGTGTTGTTTCACTGTAATCCACCCCAAGGGATCTATTAACAAGAACCTGGATTACCCTCACCTTCTTGGGTGGGTTATGACAGTGAGACACTGGAACAGGTTTCCCAAAGAAGTTGAGGATGCCTGTCAGGGTTTAACCTGACAGGTAGCTAAACACCACACAGCTGCTTGGTCACTCCCCCCTCCCCAGTAGGATGGGGGAGAAAAAAAGGAAAATTCATGGGTTGTGATAAAGACAATATAATAGGACACAATAATATAATAGGTGAGAAATGGAAGAGAAAATAATTGTAAAATAATTAGAATATACAAAACAAGTGATGCACAATGCAATTGCTCACCACCTGCTGAGTTATGCCCAACCAGTTCCTGAGCAGCGACCCCTGGCCAGCTTTCCCCCTAGTTTATATACAGACTAGGATGTCATGTGGTACAGAATATCCCTTTGACCAGTTTGGGTCAGCTGTCCTGACTGTGTCTCTTCCCAGCTTCTTGTGCCCCCCAGCCTGCTGGCTGGTGGGGTTGTGTGAGAAGCTGAAAAGTCTTTGACTTAGTGTAAACACTGCTTAGCAACAACTAAAACATCAGTGTTACCAATATTATTCTCATACTAAATCCAAAATAAAGTACTGTACCAACTACTAGGAAGAAAATTAACTCTGTCCTAGATGAAATCAGGACAATGCTCCATCCTGTCAGTGAGGTGGCAGCGGTGGCAGCAGGGCTGAATGTTAGACTGAGATGTACAGGGGGGTTCCCAAGCTCAGGGATACCCGAGCAGCAGCCCAGAGTCACATCAGGTCCCGGAAGCTCTCACAAGCCAACCAGATGAGGAGGGTGTGTTGCCAGGAGTACCACAGGAAATTTAAATGGCTCTAGGGAGCGTGAGCAGCCCAGAGGGTGTCGAACAGGGTGGGCAAACAGCACATAGCGTGTCAGAAGGACATGGTGCGGCAGTTTGTGTGACAGTTCGCGTAGGCAGAATGTGTAGGAGGGCACAGCCACCCTCCCGGCTCCTGAGGTGAGCTCACCTGGTGGTTTTTGCCTGCCCAACCAGAACAGACCCAGCAATGGTTTCCACACGGTCGAAAGTTGTTGCTGGCAGGAACGTGGTGACCCAGATGGAGCTCCCTCAGAAGCATGCAGCTGTTCAGGTGTCCAGCTGCAGGGAGTGTTTGAGCCTGGCATTAGAACCAGAGGGCAGCACAGATGACACCTGTGTGCAGTGTGACCAGGTGGATGATCTGCTCAGCCTGGTGGCAGAGCTTAAAGAGGAAGTGGAGAGGCTGGGGAATATCAGGGAACGTGGGAGAGAAATAGACCGGTGGAGTCATACTCTTTCATCCCTGAGAGAAATGCAGTGGATTGAAGCTTGGCAAGAGTCAGAGGAGCCCTGACCCATCAGGCAGAAGGAGGAGACCTAAAAGATGAGGGGGAATGGAAACAGGTCCCTGCTCAGGGAGGTAGGAGAATCCCCTTCTGGCCTCCCTCGCCTTCCCAAGTACCCTTACAGAATAGGTATGAGGCTCTGGAACTTGAGGTTTGAGCAGATGACAGTGGAGATGAGGGTCTGTCGGGGGGGTTGCCCAGAACAGCTCAGTCAACCAGATGCATCACAGCTACAGGTGTTAAGAAAGAAAGAAGCATAATTATAGTGAGTGACTCCCTTCTGAGGGGAACTGAGGGCCCTGTATGCCAACTGGACCCGTCCCACAGGGAAGTCTACTGCCTCCTTGGGACCCTGGTAAGAGACATTACTAGGAGACTCCCTGGGCTGATTCAGCCCTCTGATTATTACCCACTGCTGGTTGTCCAGGGCAATCAAAAAGGATTTCTGGCACTGAGGTGACTGGTTGAAGGGACAGGGATGTAGGAGGTGTTTTCCTCAATCCCTTCAGTAGCTGAAAGGAACAGGAGAACCCATGTGATCAACATGTGGCCTAAAGACTGGTGCCATTGGTGGAATTTTGCCTTTTTCGATCATGGGGCGGTTTATACAGCACCAGGCCTGCTGGAGACAGATGGGGTTTGCCTGTCTAAAAGGGGGAAAAGGATTCTAGCCCTTGAGTTGGCGGGGCTGGATGAGAGAGATTTAAACTAGTTTTGAAGGGGGAAGGCTTGACAGAGATGAACCTAGGAGTGGAAGGCCAGTGTTGGGGGTGAAATCAATAGCCCAGCTCAAGTGCATCTACACCAATGCAGCAGTGTAGGTAACAAACAGGAGGAGCTGGGAGGCACAGAAGCAAGCCATCCCTATGTGCTGAAAGATGAGCCAGCAGGGAATAAGACTGGCCTGGCTGAACAGGGAGCTTTTGCTGGAACTCAGGGAAAAAAAGAGGGTTTATGACCTTTGGAAGAAGGGGCAGGCAACTCAGGAAGAGTTCAAGGATGTTTTTAGAAATACATCAACAAAAATGGAGGGGCAAGGAAAATCTCCATCCTTTATTGGACGTGGGGGGAAAACATTGTCACCAAGGATGAGGAAAAGGCTGAGGTACTTAATGCCTTCTTTGCTTCAGTCTTTAAGAGTAAAACCGGTTATCCTGAGAGCAACCAGCCCCCTGAGCTGGTAGACAGGGTCACAGAGCAGAATAGACACCCTGCAATCCAAGAGGAAGTAGTTACTGACCTGCTGTGACACCAAGACACTCAAAAGTCTATGGGACCGGATGGGATTCATATTGAGGGTGCTGAGGGAGCAGGTGGAAGAGCTTGCTAAGCTGCTC